ACCATTTGTACATAACTTTTGCTGTTTTCTAAACTGTTTGTAGTAAAATACCTAAATAAACTTGCAATCATTCATACAGTTTTTCTTATGCACGTTAGGTATGTTTTTTTTTTTCTATTCTTGATCCCTTCATCACGACTGTTCCTTTTATCATATGTCAACATTCAATATATATATATATATATATATATCTTGGTATGTTAGAATGTGTGCAACTTGATATTAATTCATGAAACTTCTACGTGCATTATTCTTTTAGAGATGGATACCATTTGTGCATAGCATTTGTAGAGTATTGTATCTTTCTACAACATTATGAATACCCCCTATATTTTAGGTTGCCTAGCTTCCAGTGTTGCATAATTTGCTTTTATTTTACATGAATTTAGACAGTTAGAAGAAGAATACAAATTCAGTAAGCATAACTATAGTATATGAGCCTACAAAGTCAAAGTACAATTCTCTAATTATAACACCCGTATTTTTCAAAATACAGGGAAATTTGGACTACTATACGTTACATATATAGTTATTATTTATTCACAAATGCTTAAATTTTAGCTATTTTTCTTAAAACCTACAGGAATAATGAAAACATATTTCAAAAAACAAAGATATATAACTTTTCAATATTTCCAATTTGAGTTTCTAATTCGTTAACTATTGCACATGTTGTGTGGCAGGCATAATTAATTATAAACGGAACAATAAATAGAGAAAATAACAGGTAAACTATGAAGTTTTATTGAAAAAAGAAAAACGTTTGAAATGCATTTAAGAGGTTTTATGCATAACACAAAGGAAATTTGGGATTTTTGAGAGACTTGTATGTGAAAGACTTGTAATATTAACTGAAAAACTGCCAAATTTGTGAAGATATACCCAATATATTGAGAGTTATAAATATTAAATTTATAAAGACTTTAAACAAATAAAAAAGTTCATGTGACTCAGTCAAATTGACCAACCTCATATTGAGAGGGTTAAATAAGTTTTGCATTCTTAATTTTATAAGGCAATATTAAAAAAAAATCCTGAATTTCCCCTAGAACTTGTGACATTTGCTTTATTGACTTCCTCTCTTCTCTAATTCATTTACCACCCCTCCAAGAAGTATGAAATTTAATGTAAATTACTAAGATAATGTTGTCATCACAGAGAAAGCATAATTTTTATAGCCTTTAATCTTGTTTCGTTAGAGAGCCAGAAAAAAAGTTAATCAGACTGTTCTTGCCATGCCCATCTGTCACATCCTCTCTTTCAGAAATTGTCAGTAGTTCTCTCTGATGTTCAATACTATATTATTTATAACCAAAAGAAAGCCATTATGTAATTCAATATGGTAACATGAGTTCCACATTAGTCAAGTGATTTATACATTTTATAACATGAATGATAGTTGGATAAAGTTCAAAGAGCAATAAAACAATAAAGTTTAAGTTCATACAGATATATATCTATATATATTGTTTAACCCGTTACTTGTCGTTATCATTTTTTCAATTCACAAATGATTTTGCCCTCACAATAAGACAAAATGGCCGGCAACTTATCTTTTATTGGATATCAGATTTTATTTTTGTAAATAGTAGCATAACATTCAATTATTTGTACAAAATTGTATTGTTTAATGAAGTTTAAAGAGGAATTTAATGAAAAAGTTCCTAAAATACGTTTTAGACTGTAAATAAGCACCCTCTAAGTAGACATGTTTTTAAAAAAAATTTTTTAAGATATTTCTTTTCACTTCAGCACTGGTCCTGCCATCTATGATTGGTATCTAAACTTTTTCTAGTCTGTTTTCTTTATAAAACTGCATCTGGGAATGTTAAACCCCAGTTGTAAAACTTTTAGCCAATCCTAGTCGAAGGTGTCAATTTCAGTACCATGTTATTCCAATCGCTGTATCTCACAGTTGACAAATCATAGGATCATAAGGAAAGCATGTGATGAAACGTTGTTCTCTGGATTTCACAATATGAATGTGGGTGGTGCTTATTATAGTAACTGCCATTTTATGTAGAGGTTGTATTTAGTACTGGCCAATAGTGCTTTTCTATTAGCATTAGAAAAGTTGTTTCTGGAAAAAACTGCATGGGATGTACGTGACTTTTATTATTTTTATATAGTAGCTTAAGTCATGCTGCATGCATGATAGTAAGAGAGCTTTTCGGTACTTGAATATCATTTCTTTGAACTTTCAAACAAACTTATTTCAACATATGTCTGTGTATGTTGTTTCAGAATAGAGACAAAACTAATTGCCACTACTAACGAATGTATGCAACAGTTTGTAGTTCAGGTGGTTTCAATAAACACTGCCTGAGCCTTACCCCTTGTTACTTGATACATCCTGTTAAAAGAGATTACCAAACGATA